TAAATTATAGGTAGTCAAACAACAGATTTGCCAGAAGTTGAATATTGGAAAATTTTGCCAAAACAACGAGAAGCCGTTTGGACGTGAGTGAACCATCATTCCTAAAATGTCTTTCAGAAAGCGTTTTAATTATTCATGTCTGTGTGTCAAAAATATCTTTCTCAGAGCTTAGTGTTACCTGTTCATATATTGAAAACGACTGCACCAGGGTAACACATAATTATCAGCTTGAAAATTCGTTGACTTATTTTGTAGTGTTGCATTTAAACAATGAACCAATCAGTGTAGTCGTCTCTACGCTTAAATAACATGAAAATAAAGTATCAGCAGATGAGATGCACGTACAAGACTGCAAATACGTCTGTTCTTCCATAAAAAACCTTCACATTCAACGAAAAATAAGCCTTTTTGGTACCATTGCTTCTCAGCCTACCATTTCAACAATGAGGAAACTTAATACTTAATATTTACTATAGCATTTTAGGAGCGTACTCTCTTGAGGGTCAGTGTTTCTCTTTTCATGCAATTCTGACCTTTCCCGCTGCTTGCTATCAGCGTTGCGATGAATGACAAACAAGTCACTTAAGGATATAATTAACGGGCAGCCGATACTATATAGCTTAAAGGACGATCACTGGAAGATGTCAGAATAAAAAAACAAGAATTTCATTTTCCACAGTTTAAAATTGTTAAATTTCAAAATTTAATATCAATAGTCTCTGGCATAGCTAAGTTCGCCCTTTGAGTAGATATATGAATCGGCTTACATTATTATAGCGTTTTATTTAAAGGATATACGCTGATGCTTTATATGGGATCTTTACGAAATGTAGTATCGTGGCAGTAGCACAGTGGTTTGGGCATTGTGCGAGTGAGTTCATCTTGCGAGAGTTCGAATGCAGTTTCGGACAAGTTTCTATATTTGCCACCAGTTTGGTCAGCTGTAAATGGCAACGGGACCCTGACGGACTGCCGTCGATTGTACGACAGAATGCCGTGAAGGTCTCG